CAACCTATAACCACAGTTTTTCAATTACTAAAACCGAAGTTAAATATTTTAACTTACAGCTATGGGTTTTTTTTAAACCATGGCTAAAAGATACAATCTATAGCCACAATTTCTTGAAAAACCGTAACTAGATATGCCAAGTTGTAACTATGGTTTTTTATAAAACCGAAGCTATATACATCAACCTATAGCTACGGTTTTTGAGAAACAATGGCTAAAAGCTGAAATCTATAGCCACAATTTCTTACAAAACCATAGCTAATTGTTTGAATCTAGAGAAAAATTGTGGCTACATTCTAAATAAAATAGTAAAATAACGACAATTGGAACTGCCACTTTAAAGCAACACCTGTTTTATTCATACATCACATGAAAATTATATAATAATTTTTAGCAAATGGTTATATTATTGTAATAATAAATTACATGCCATGTATAATTTGAATACATCCCTTGTTTAAAATGTATTACAAATGTCAAATTTCCCTTAAAAAATAAAGTTTTAAGTATAAAAGAATTATCCCTTGTTTTTGGCCATGCTTTAAGAGTCACTCATCACATGTTTTACCTACAAAGAAAAACAAAAAGAAATTAAAACAAGGATTACTTTGATGATCTAATTAAATATGCAATATACGATGAAAAAATTTAAAAGAAGCTACTGATATTTTGTTAATGCAAGATAAATTTTGAATTTCTAATTAAATAGGCTTGGCACACTTGTTTGACTATTTTCTTATGAGAAAGGAAAAAAATAAATAACATCTAGGTTATGATAATGATTTCAAGTTTCTTAAATTTTAGAGTTGTGTTTTACTTAATATTGATATTTCTTTACACGATAAGACATTTTAAGAAGGATGACGTGCACAAGACTCAAATGAAGTGGAATGCAGAAGAATGTGGTTATGATAGAATAGGGAAAGGTAAAAGAATGAAAGATTTAGAAAATTCTATGGATGTGAAAGTCTAAGTTGAGGGTGAAGGGGAAAGGAGGGAGGGGTGTTAGAGGAAGGTAGAGTTAAAGAGGTTTCAAGGGAAGTGGATATTGATTGGCCTATGGGCAGGCAAGTGGCAATTGGGAAGTCTCTAGCCTTTTCATTTTTTTTTTCTTTTGGGCGAATGGGTAGTGAAAAAAATAGTTGAACATTTTGAAAAAATAGAACAAAAGAATATAACAAAAGAAAAGCATTTGGGAAGATTCAACCACCTAGATCAACAGGTCGTTGACTGATTGAATGTCTTTTTTGGCTAGGGACCGGGTTTGGAGTAAAACGGAACCGGTTGCCTAGACGGTTCCCAGGCCGAACGGTTCGACCGTTCAAATCAACGACAATTTGAAAACCATGATGTCAGTGATTCATCTATCTAGATTGAATAGGTCAAACTAAGAGTGATCATTTCAACCTTGCTCGGCCCGACACCACACAACCCGGCCCAAAAATTCTAGGCTTAGGCCTAAGTTTTGTGTCTAGGCCTGGCCTAGGCCTAAGCTCACATCAATCTCATAAATTTCAAGGTTGTGCCTAGGCCTTATGCTTTAAGCCCAACCCGACCTACCTATATTTAAATATATGTATTTTATAAATAAAGTGTGTATATATGTTATGTTATATATTATATAAATAAATATTATAAAGGGACACTTAGAATATATATTATATGTAACATTCTATATTATATAATGAATAAGATAAATTTATATGCATATTTATGCTATTCAATATAAAATATTACTAGCAGGAAGCCCAAGCTAAGCACAGGCAACATTTCATTAGATATAGGAGATGTACCCCCACGTGTTAGTACCCAAAACATACCATCACCAACTATAAATATTAACTAAAAAAAAGAGAAAAAGCCACCCGATGATATTGACCTCTTGTTAGGACTCCACAATCACCCATTAGATTAGAATAGTCACATCACTAGGGGCCTGTTTGTTTTCTCTTAATTCTTAAGAGGAATATTTTAACTTTAAGAGAAAAATGGTTGTTCGTTTCCTCTTATCTCTTATCTCTTAAATATAATCATACAACTTCTTATTTTCCAATAATACCCCCAAAAAGACAAACAAAAACTCTCGTATATGGGGTCAAAATGGATATTTGATAATTTTCAGAATTCAGAATTCAAAACAACATTCTTTACATTCAGAGTTCAAAGGAAAGAAAAGTTCACCAATACCAATATACCTCTTAATGTAATTATTGCACTTTCAGATGTTAGACTTTAGAGCAAACGAACAGGCCCTAGGTTCCACCGTGATAAAAAAAAAAATTGGTAAATTAAAATTTGCATATAAGGTAAATAAAAAAAAATATTATTCTAATAAGTTGCCCAAAATTAAAAATAAAAAAAAAAAAGATCATCCCAACAGGACAACCAAATTGAAAGTTATGGCCTATACAAATTTGCATATAAGGTAAATTAAAATTGATAAAAAAAAATTGGTTGTTTACACATATATAATAGGACCGGCTCATTGATTCCCATGTTGGACTAGGTAGGTGGGCAGTTTTGGCCAATTGTTTGGAGCTAGGGGTATGATCGAACTGGCCAATGGTTGGTCAACAAGTTTTGACTTGTTCTTGTATTCAGAACCATACATATATGTCTTAAGGGTTAATTTGGTTGTGTTGAAATTAGCGCCAAATGCTAAAAAGTTAAAAAAAAAACTAAATAACCAAGTATTCAATGGATTATCCACTAAATGCTAAGTTCCTATTGGTAGTTGTAAGATACTTTTTGCAATGGATTTGATTGGGCTGTATAATTCTATAACTTCCCTTGATATGGTCTCCATAACATGACCATAATAATAATTTATTAAATCAATACTTAATTATAAAGTAATTAATATTTATTTATGAAATTAATAATAATTTAGTTTAATTAATTATCATTAATTAATTAAATAGCAATGATGAATCATATATAATTTATTATTAGTTAATTGTTTGTTGTTCATTAATAATTCATTTAAATAATTAAATTATTTTTTTATGATTAGTTTTTAATTAATTAAATAATAATTAAAATATTTATTTGTATTTTAGAAATTATTATCTTTTTATTTATGCCTATATGAAATTGTTAATAATTTATTTTCTATTTTAATTATTATGAAATAGTAATCATTAATTATTATTGTTTTCATTAATGAATTAATAATAATTTATTATTTATTAATTATTGGTCATATTTATTTATTTTAGTAATTTCCTAATTATTAATAGTAATTAATATATAATTAATATCTTTAATTAAAAATATATGATTATTACTTATTAGTTTTTCATACATTACATTATTTTTTTTATCCATTCAAGTAAATATTTACTAGTTTACTAATTTTTTATCAATTTATTAATTATTTAATATTTAACTAATTTGTAATATATTTTGCTCCTCAAGGGTAGGTTTGTCAAACATTTATGGTATCATATTTATATGACCTTATAGCTACTAATAACTAAAATCCGTGGCTATATATATATATAGCTTTTAGCCATGGGCAAAGTATTATTTAGGCACGAATAATATTGCTGTAGTTAAAGATCCAATTTCATAGTTATAACTCCGTGGCTATAGCTATAAATAGCTTTTACAAAGTGGTATTTAATCACGAACAAAATAACTGTAATTATCGGTGAGCTTAACTTATAAGGTACGGATGCGTAAAAGCCATGTTTATATGTAATTATTAGCTACGGACAAATTGTTTTTAACTACGGACAGAATCTAAAGCTTAACTTTTAGCCACGGATAAAAGATGTCCGTGATTATATCTCAACTTTTAGCTACGGTTTTTATGTCCGTAATTAAAGTAAAGTATCTATACCCCATTTTCCTGTCTTGCAAAAAAAAAAAAATCAAACATTTTGGTGATCAATTGGTTGGTATTGGTAGTTGATTCATCATGCACTTCATGGACTTGGAGCTAAATATGACTCCTTTGCTATTGCAATCACCATTGGAAACGACAGATTTATCTTATATATGCTTTTCATCACCTTTGAGAATCGCTTGTCTCATACTCAAACCATTGCATCTCTTGACACAACCCGGCCATCTTTGCCAAAATGTGGTTATTAAGAATCACAATGTGAAGCAGCCCGCTCATTCAGTGAAATACTATTGTAATATTAATTCTCAGACTTCTTGATCCAGTCTCCACCTTCCGCGTGTGCAGCAGCTGCAACCCCTAAATCTATTGATGATACATGGTTCCTAAATTCTGGTGCCACTTATCACCTTACAGTTGATCATTGGCAATGGTTCAGGTTTGTTCATTATCTATCATGGATCTTCATTAATTCCAGACATAATCAAATAAAATAATCAGAAGCAATAGCAAATAAAATAAAAGGGCTTAAGGTTTGTTCTTAACAAATAATAAATTAAGGTGCCATCTTCTTTATACAGTAGTTATATAGCTGGCACGTGCAAAAGAAATATGTGAGTATGCCTTTCCACTGGAAAATGAATGTTGAACATCATCAGCAAAATATACTCAATTTCCTTAAAACCAAGAGGAGAAAGACATGATATTGCTACTTGATTAATATACATATACTGTCCAAGGGTTTAATTTCTAGAACAAAGAATTGCACACTAAACTGGGCCCAATCTTCATGTGTTGTAAGGAATTGAAATTAATTAATATATAAGGATTGGTCCACAATTTAATGGCTTAAACTTTAGGGTTAAAGGTATTCTCCAATTCTTATTTGTAAGTCTTACATACATATACTATTTTCTTTGGCTTATTATAGTAGAGACATGAGATCAAATCCCACCACCACTAGGGTAGTGGGTTATGGATGCACCCGAGGGTTAGATTGTTGAGATGCACATGTGACTGAGTGTGGAGAAAATCTCAAGGTATTGGAAAAAAATGAGAGATGCTATACAGAGTAATCCACATCCTATGGGTTTAAAGGTGGTACAATAAAAAAAATGTTTTTGGAAACAAAAACATATCCTACATACTTTATTCATATTCGATGCTGGTCCTGTAAGAGAATTAATCCCTATACAATATCATTATCTGGCAGATTATTTTCATTTTTTCCTTACATGAACAAGAAGAAAAAGAAAGAAAGAAGAAAGAAAGAAGAAAGAAACCAGGTAAATGCACAGGATGTTTTGTATATGCTTACAATTAATTAATTTGATGACAGTGTAGTAGCTTCACCCAGTAAATAGTCGGATACGGGAAGTGATACGTCCACGGCATATGGGGCAGTTAGTGACTCTTGGCCCACACTCGGTACAGACCTGAATGCAATCAGATAATTAAGGTTCAAAGGGTGTATCGGCCTATATCGGTATTTTTTTAATTTGTTTTTTGAAATCGGTTTAAGACCCAACTATCCTCTGAATCACTGTCTGACTCGATAAAATCCCTAGAGTATCGGTAAACCATCGGCACGACCAATACGTATCAACACTTTGAACCTAGTAAAGTTATGAGAAGAAAGGGATGAGTGAAATATATAACTTACCATATGCCCACACCCGAAGGCTAAATTCTTCTCATTAGTCAAGCAAATAGGGCATGTCTGCAACAAAACGCAGAATTAATAAGCATAACCTACCACCTCAAATCTACAAGATTACAAATATTTATGAATATAATATATATATATATATATATATATATATATATAAACAGCACAACAACAGCAGAAGCATATCCTTACTCGTGTACTTTCATCTCCACCAGATGGGGCGACGTTGCTTGGCTCATGTGATGAGGCGGGGTTCAGGTTGCTTGGTTCACTACGAGTTGGCTGCAGCAGACGGCCGGTGGAAGAAACAAGAGGAGGAGGCCGGGGAACAATCTGTGTTGGACGTCCTTTGACTCTCCTGTAATGCATATTTAACACATTCACAGGTACATGTAGGTGGCAGCCACAGTTTCAAGTATCAGACAATCAGTTCCGTTTATCCCAAACTTGATTTTTGATCAAAAACTATTGAATTGGTCAGCGATTCATTGACCTAGATGATTGAACCATCAACCCATTTGATATATTCAATAGTTATTAATCATTTTTTATTTTAATTATTTTTTAATTTAAATGAACTGTTCATTAAAATCAAACAGTTGAACCATCAACTCAAAAACCGGTTCCAATTCTAAATTGGCTTTTAAAACCTTAAGATAAATAGTTTGTGACTGATAGCACATACCCAAGGATACCAAGTTCCATGGTTGCTTTGTACTGGATGGGTATCTCCATTAGTGCTGCAAGAGCAAATGCTGCTTCTTTCTCAGAGGGGCTAACATCTCTAGACATGATGTTTGTGAAGTTAACGAACTGCATGCATGCAGATGGATCATGAGATGTAGATAAGGCGCCAGAGAAGTAATTAATTAGTAGACACACTATAAAAGAAATTTAATTAGCATAGATTGCTATGCCTATGATCGAGCTACTTGTGCATTTAATTTACTACGTACGTACCTGAAAATTGTCGAACTCACGCCCTTGGATCCTATCATCAAATTTCTTCATGTCATCCCAGGGTCCGTCACCAACGCCAACAAGCACAATTGAGAGTGGATACGAACTGGTGAATAAATTAATTAAAAAATATATATATATATATAGGTGTATTAATTAATTACCCAATAAGCATTACTTCTACTTTTAGGTTTGCTTTATTTGCTTTCCATATATAATTAAGAACTGCTATTTCTAGCGAGTTCGGATCTCCTGTTCACGTTTACTTACAATACACTATCCCCATGAATTGGGAACAACTCTCCTGTATAATACTATGCAGAGGATGAGATATTCTCCATATGTGACTGCGATAAACGTGGATAGGAGATCCGGACTCATTTCTAGCAACAGACTTTGATACTTTTATTAGTATTAGTTATTCAAACTCAGTTATATACTAATACTTTTACCTTGCAGTTGCTATTGAGTTAATTGTTTTCAATTCCTGTGGGCTAAGAGCTCCCTCCATTGTATCAACACTTCTTGTAACCTTGATAAAATCCAAATGGTTACTTTTGGTAACTTGAAAAAAAAAAATACAAGAAATTCTAGAAATTAAATAAAGAACAATAATTAAAAGCTAGCTTTAATTTATTACTTGGCCATCTGCAATGATAACAAGAACATGGTATTTCCCTCCACTTTTCTCCACAATATCAATTGCAGCCTCAATTACTGGTGCAAAAGAAGTTGGCCCTGAAAAAGAGAGGGAAATGCAAAATCATAGGATTAATTAGGTGGAAACAATCTATTAAAACAATTCCCATTGTATTAATATATACACAATAAATCAATAGGTTCTACATTAGACAATTTTGAGAGTTACCCATTAATACAGAATGAATTAATAAAACTAAATAACATTAAATGGTCTTGTGTACGTAGCATGCAATCAAATCTATAAAACTGTTGTGTAAATTAAAGTGCAGGAAAATGGATAGGATGTATGTACCTGATAATCTTAAATTTGGGATAATGCGTTTATAGCAAGCCAAAACTTCTTCAAATCCATGGCAAGGTGTATGATCACTGTGAAAACTAAATACGCCTTCATCGTGGGTTGTAGCTGTGAGAGGATCAAAATAAATAAAGAAACACTCAGGAGTAGCAATCAACTCTAGAAAAAAAAAATTCAAAAATTCCGAACTTATCAAGGAACGAAAACCAACCATCACCAAATCCAAAACAAGGGATCAAATTGTCTTCATCAAAGGGAGCCAAAGTCTTTCCAATAATCATAATAACCTGCTCATATGGATTAGGTGTATCACCAATTGCATGCAGGCTCCGATTTTGAAAGGAGTTTTTGCCTTCAGTAGCAAAGTAATATATATATATATATATTAGCATCAGAGACTTGAAAATTAAGAACCAAATTAAAGTGAGATAATGACTAAAACAAATAGCCAAAAGATACAAATAGTAATCATTTTTACTATATCAATCAACTTTGTAAACATAAGACATATGCTCTTGTGAAGAGTGATGATTTGCTCTAGAAACCAGAGTTATTAAGATTAAACCTAAGAGTTAGGCAAAAAAAGGTGGAAAAGCTATCAATTCTCACAACCAATTGAACTGTCTCAGGTGAGGTTTTAATAATTTATTAATGTCCTCTAACATAACATGGAATATACAATTATAACCATCCAAGTTGAGAGGAAATTAATCACCATCATGGATGAGAATATTAAAAAAGCATTTCTTTATTGAAGTCCTTGATCAAACTACTTAAAGAGCCCTGACACAAGCAAAACAAATTAACTATTCATGTATTGATTTCCCAACAGCTGAAACTATTGGACATGACATCCTTGGTTTTCACTTCTGACAACAATTGAAGGATACATGCATATAAAATAATAAAAAGGCTGTAACTGTAGTTACAACTTACACAAATTTATTTTAGGTAGTTTGCCTAATGAAATTGAACCAATCAATCACTATACTTTATTAGTTAAATCCAATCAAGATGGCATGTTTGGGAAATCCATGAAACCTCTCATAATTAACAAAGGACAGAGTGCCAACCAAAAATCTCATAACATGAGAAGATAGATTTCACATCACAGTCCATTCAATTATGGGTTTTCCTTAACAGATTGGTAGGTGAGCTGCCACATGAGGTGAAAGGTCTCTAAGCCAAAATAAAAAGGAAGGAGAGAGAAAGGGTGGAGTGTTTTATCATGCTATATATATATATATATATAGTTTAGGGTCTCAAACCAAGGAACCAACCACAATTCCCAAAGCACCACCTAAAATGGGCAGTCCAAGACTGGTTGGGGGGTCAGTCCATGGGACCTGCAACCCACAAAGCTTAATTATGATCACTAGGAGTGGTTCCACCACAATGCCACCTAAGGTTTTAGTATACCATGCCACCAATAAGGAAAAAGATTAATCATGCTAACCAAAGCAGAGAAAAGTAATGATGCTCACAACATGACTCATAGACATATGAATGCAATTTCATGTGCTTTTGTGCCTAGCTTGAACCCTAAATTTGCATATGTAGTCAGTACTCAGTACTTGTGAAATTTACTATACACCATAAACACATGCACAAATACAAGAAAAGATTTAGAAGCAAGAGGACTTTTACATTGGTTTCTTAAAGTGTTATTTCTTACGCAATGCCAAACAGTCAAAGGGGAAACTTGAGTTATAGAAGAAGTTTAGCCTGAAATACCATTACTACAGTAACCTCATTAAAGTCCCATACGATCAAAAAAAAAAAAAAATTAAACTTCCAAACATCAAGTCAGAAAGTAAATTATTACATATTAAACATAATGATGTTCTCCAAGAATCTCCCAAATAATCTATGCAAAATAACATGTAAAGGAATGGGATCCCCCAGAAGCAGAAAATATAAAAATACTTCAAACCACAATTTTTCATTGAAAAAATCACAAGGAAAACATTTGAATCATCATCATCATCTAAGCCTTGTCTCAACTATATGAGGCCAGTTACATGAATTCTGTTTCATCAATTTGTTTTATCCAGTGATATCCATCATTAAATTATTAGTGATTAAATCATTTCTTATTACTTCCATTAAGTCCTTTTTGGTTTTTCTCCTAGATCTTTTAGTCTCTTCAACTTCTTACTGATCACTTTAAAAAAAAATGTTGTTTCTATATATACACATGACCAAACCACCTTAGTCCACTAAGTCCTTAATTTTATTATTGGTTCATTTACATCTGAATTATGGTGCATCAATTTTCATAGACTGCACCATAGATTTTGCCACATCTCAAGGTGCTAAATTAAAAGGAAAAAGAATGAAGGGTGAGGTTCTGTTTGAGTGGATATGAATGAGAAAAAACCAAAGATATAATGACAAGATGGAAGCCACCAATATACCCAACTGTTGAATAAACTTTGGAAAGTAAGTTGAAACTTGAAAGGGTAAATAAAGCAACCATAGGATGTATAGCAAAAAATTGATGAAGGAAAAACCAAAGCACCAATATACCCAACTGTTGAATAAAGTTTGAAAAGTCTGTTGAAACTTGAAAGGGTAAATAAAGCAACCATAGGCCGTATAGCAAAAATTGTTGAAGGAAAAACCAGAGCAAATTGGTTAACATAGAACTGTGCAAGAAAACTCAAAGAAAGTGACGAAAATAGTTTGCTAGGAATCAACAACATATATCATTGAGAGATGATTAAAGGTATCAATGATATTTGAAAATCCAATTTCAAATTCAAGATTCAACATAATCGAATTAAATTTAGATAATTCAAATATCATAATTAGTCAAATTCAAATAACTAATTCATTCCATTTAAGTAATCGAACCAAATTCAAATGTGACCCAATTCTGACGTAAAAAAAAAACATGGCCCGATTAAAGTTGCCATTTGATATCATGTAACAAAAAAAAAGTATTTGAAATCTATACAGAATGGAAATGGCCCTACATCTACATGGTGGACCAACTCAAATAATTATTAATTATGATAAAGCTTGGTTAGGTGTAAGGTGGGTCAGGATAAGTTCAGCATATATATGGTTAATTAGGGTAAGAAAAGGCCAATCAATTTAATGTCATATTGGACTAAGGTATTTCTTTTTTTGGTATTACAATATACGATCGTCTCAAATCAGTCCATTAATACAGGTTGGTAGAGACTGATGATCAGGGGACAGAGTTGAGTTAATGGGATTGAAGACTGATCTCTCCCTATTGCAGCATAGACAAGCAGAGGCCCACTCAATTTTATACAGAAATTAAATTAATTATAATGGGAGTGATAGGAATAGTAGACTATTAATTTGGTCAAACAGTCTCTGATATCATCTTCATGAACGGTATAAGCTCGAGTTGGGGTCTTTTACCGACAAAACATGGTCCAACATCCTACCAACTTCATTCGAGATTTGTCTTGTATGAGATATGCAATGTCAGATGATATTGGTAGGGTGTTGGAACGTATTTTCTTGTTAGGTGATCCCAACTCTAAAAACTTAAGCTATTAAATAAGATCGTTTAATTGAATAGATTTTTATTCCCTAACACTAAGCAACCAATCCACATTAGGCTGGTTGTGGCACTTGATTCAATGAGGTATCAATTGTGAGCTCTTGATGTTGCAAGAACAGTAGTCTCCTAGTTACATCTCCTTGTAATACTCCTAGTAATTTTATTTGCTGATGATAAATTTATCTTATTATTCCAAAAAAATAAAGGATAAATTTCTTAAACTACCCTTATAATTTAGCTAATTAATTAAGTATACCCCAACTGTACATTTGACTATTCTCTAATGCTTGCTGTTTTAAAAAATTACCATTGCGTTAAAATATTGAAAAAAAGGGCTGAAATGTTCGTTTTGCCCTTAAAGAACCACCATTACCAATCTTGGCATCGCAGCCCTTAAACGTGCCAATCGATTCCATTCATTTAGCGGGATACCAAATTTATAGAAATACTTTAGAAGCTCCTCCAAGCTGTTAAAGTGATGGTTTCTTTCTGGGCTCCGACCTCAGAGTAGTAGCAAATATCTTGGACATCGATCGGGGGGTATCTATTGTCCAACCACTTGGGTTCCTCGATTCTAAGAAATCCATTCCTGTTCACTTGCAAAAATCAAAGAAAGTCACCGCCTTCTCTGCCATCGCAGAAGCTGGAGATCTTCGTTCCTGCGATGAAGATGGGGACGGGAAGAGGCGAGGGATGTGCCTTCTCTGCCATCGCAGAAGCTGGAGATCTTCGTTCCTGCGATGAAGATGGGGACGGGAAGAGGCGAGGGAGGAACCCATCCACCGAATCTGGCGGGGGTGTAGCATTTGATTAGAGCTCCACCCAGAAAGACCTCCGGTAGTTAAACGTTGCTCGGACAGTTGCCGAAGATCCACATTGCTCGGAGATCATCGGTTCTCCGTTATGTTCTATTGCCATCACTCCAACTACTTGTGCCCTGAGCTGGGAGAAACAAAGGGAGGAGTCTGCCTGCAGCGGCGTTGATGAAACAGGGGAAAGAGGGAGAGAAAACAAAGGGGAAGAAGGAGATAGAGACTAAGAGAGAGAGGGGGGCTATTGTTGTCGGTTAAGGACTGAGCCAGCTTAGTTTGCTGTTGCTGAAAGGAAGATTAGGTTTATAAAAAATTATACGTCATGTATGTACGAGTTTTGATGGAATATTAACAAATGCTAAAATATTAACGAAAAGGGTAGAGCTAGTCAATTATTCGAAAAGGACCAAAACAGTAGGGGTACCATTAGATAATAGTCAAATAATAAAGGCATACTTAATCAATTAACTAAATCATAAGGATAATTTAAAAGATTTACTTAAAAATAAAAAATAAAAATGAAATGTAGCCACACTCACAGAACCATAGAAATCTAGAGCTCCACTCGTGGACTGAATTCTGACCATAGATTGATGACGGGCAGGATGGGGTTTATAGGGGGCTACTAATAGACTAAGAAGGGGTTGCAAATCAGATTTCTGAAGGGGATTAAGTCCAAAAATCCCTTTTCCATTTCTTTCAATCAAACTTACTGACTTTTTTCGTAACCTCTAGTATCAAGCCATTTGAACAAAAAAGTGAACCAACAAATCTCATATGGAAGGGCACTATAATAATTAAATTTCATCATCTGCACAATTTTCATTCATGACAAACTCAAAGAGAGGGATAGTATAGTAAATTTACAAAAAAAACATTTTAATCTCCCAGGGGGTAGACCCAGACAGGGGTCTAAAGAGTCTTTGAAAAGTCATGGTATAATTTCAAGAGATGGAGAAGTTTTAGATAATAACCCTTATAAGTTTTTACATGCATAAA